GATGGCCTCCATCCTAATAGCGATGGCCTCCACCTTAGTGGCGATGGCCTCCAGCCTTGTAGCGATGGCCTCCAACCTAATAGCGATTGCCTCCACCGTACTAGCGATGGCCTCCACCCTAGTAGGGGTGGCCTTCACCCTAGTAGCGATGGCCTCCAACCTATTAGCGATGGCCTCCACCGTAATTCGTAGGGAGGCCTCCACCCTAGTAGCGATGGCCTCCATCCTAGTAGCGATAGCCTCCACCCTAGTAGGGATGGCCTCCACCCTAGTAGCGGTGGCCTCCAACCCAATAGCGGTGGCCTCCACCGTAGTAGGGATGGCCTCCACCCTAGTAGCGATGGCCCCCACCCTTGTAGCGATGGCCTCCAACCTAGTAGCGATAGCCTCCACCCTAGGAGCGATGGCCTCCACCCTAGTAGCGATGGCCTCCACCCTAGTAGTGATAGCCTCCACCCTAGGAGGGATGGCCTCCACCCTAGTAGCGATGGCCCCCACCCTTGTAGCGATGGCATCCAACCTAATAGCGGTGTCCACCGTAATTAGTAGGGATGGCACGACCCTAGTAGCGATGGCCTCCACCCTAGTAGTGATAGCCTCCACCCTAGCCTAGGAGGGATGGCCTCCACTCTAGTAGGGATGGCCCACAGCCTTGTAGCGATGGCCTCCAACCTAGTAGCGATGGCCTCCACCCTAGTAGGGATGGCCTCCACCCTAGTAGCGATGTCCTCCACCCTTGTAGCGATGGCCTCCACCCTAGGAGGGGCCTCCACCCTAGTAGCGATGGCCCCCACCCTTGTAATAGCGGTGTCCACCGTAATTAGTAGGGATGGCACGACCCTAGTAGCGATGTCCTCCACCCTAGTAGCGATAGCCACCACCCTAGGAGGGATGGCACCACCCTAGTAGCGATGGCCTCCACCCTAGTAGTGATAGCCTCCACCCTAGCCTACGAGGGATGGCCTCCACTCTAGTAGGGATGGCCCACACCCTTGTAGCGATGGCCTCCAACCTAGTAGCGATAGCCTCCACCCTAGGAGCGATGGCCTCCACCCTTGTAGCGATGGCCTCTAACCTAGTAGCGATAGCCTCCACCCTAGGAGCGATAGCCTCCACCCTAGTAGCGATAGCCTCCACCCTAGTAGTGATAGCCTCCACCCTAGGAGGGATGGCCTCCACCCTAGTAGCGATGGCCTCCACCCTTGTAGCGATGGCCTCCAACCTATTAGCGGTGTCCACCGTAATTTAGTAGGGATGGCACGACCCTAGTAGCGATGTCCTCCACCCTAGGAGGGGTGTCCTCCACCCTAGTAGCGATAGCCTCCACCCTAGTAGCGATAGCCTCCACCCTAGTAGCGATAGCCTCCACCCTAGTAGCGATAGCCTCCACCCTAGTAGCGATAGCCTCCACCCTAGTAGCGATAGCCTCCACCCTAGTAGCGATAGCCTCCACCCTAGGAGGATGGCCTCCACCCATGCAATGCAATCTCCGTTCCAGGCCACCCGGGCGCCATCCCTCAGCTCCGTGCTTACGGCGCCTGCCTGGCACTCCTCCGGACGGGGTCCGGCTCGAGCACAGCGACTGCGGCGGAGGGGTCCGCGGTGGAGATTTTCCGGTCGCTGCGGGCACTGGAGGTGTGGCGATCCGCGGTCGCGACCGGCGCGACGATCCGGGAAGATGGAGAAGGAGAATGGATCGATGTAATGTAGACTTGATGAGTAACCCCCCCATAGGAATTGGAAATTCAGATGGGAGGTTTATTAGTCGAGAGTCTACATTACAAGACTTTGTGAACAGTCAGGCTATCGGATATCGTTTCTGTTTGTGTTTTGTTGCGGGTGCCAGGGATGACTGAGGAGTTTTGGAAAGATGGTTGGACTGTTGATCAAAACCATGGGGTCAGATTTACGGAAACCAAATGATTGTCCGTGATATTGCTTTTGGTGGACTGGCACTCAGCATGTACCATCAAAACGGCAAAACACATTAAACCACTGCACCACATTGGGGGTCAATCAGGTAGTCACCCATAAACTTATGATTCATCTTGTTTTTATGTTTGATTGATCCGCGGGAAAAACACGCCCAGTCGCCACCCGGCAGACAGGTTGGGGAAGCGGAGCTGCGCGGCAGCGGCATCGGAGTCTTCGTCTCAACCGGGCGCGTCGTGGGAACGGTGTGGGAAAGTGAGGGGTGAAGTGGACAAGTGCATTTGGCTGAAGTGGAAACCAGACATCGTAAACACCGGACATCCGATCCAAGGAAAGGAGATCTCCAAATCGGCCTGGCAGAAGAACCGCCGCTGGGGCATATGACAGCCGTTTGTAAGGGCATATAGTAAGGTAAAGAAGTAGGGAGGGTCTATGTATTTTGTGTATGTCATTGTTTTCGCTGCCAACGGGCCTGCCTTTGGCGCTCCCCGACCGTAAAACAAGAAGGGTAATGTTTTGCGCATTTAGATTCACCACATTGTTTTGTTTACCGTTCCTTTTCATGTATATATAGTTGTTCTGAGACCTATGCACACACACACATGTTGTGATGTGTTTTTGAATTTGGAGTCCTGGATTGGTGCATTGCGATTGGTGCAAACCCCGACCCGAGAGGCGTGTTTTAAAATCTCCCGGATTTGACAATCTTCACATGAGGCGTAAGTCAACTAATGACCGGCCTTTTTGAGTTCCAGTTGCGCCTGTGTCGCTGCTTGAACGCTCCGATTTTCCCGTGTTCCCCCCAAAAAAGAACGCGTGAACACCACCAGAGGTGTTTTTTGGTTTAGTTTGCATTTGAACTTATTCAGCTCATGCAAGGTCACAACGCATTTTGCACCAGGCTTGTGCGGCATATGATAACAATTTCCGTCTGGATGGACTCAAAGCTGCTCGTTTGTTTGGACTCCTGCAACTGCAGACTGATTAGCAAACGCATGTCTTGTAATTCTGTTCTTAATATACTGATACTATATGTTGTTAGCATGTCAATTAAGGGATTGCCGGCGTTGGTTCCCGGACACTTGGGACAGTTGGCACAAACAAATAACAAACTGATTGACGTTAAAAGTGAGTTCAGGGAACCAATCGAAGCTTTGGTGCATTCTAGATTGTGCAAAGGCACTGCTATGTGCTGCTACAGCTGCCTTTAGTGCATCCTTGAGTTTATGAAAGGTGTTGGTTGCTTGTGTGGATAAGCGACACGAGTGAACCTCAGTGTGGCTGGTGATTTGTGCATCAAACTGGCGCCACCACTCCAAGATTTTTGCATCGTGGATCTGCGGGACGTCCGAGTCATGCCCAACTTGGGTTTCCCAGTTTTTCCATGGGTTGGAGGAAGGGTGTAGGTTGGAGGCCACCGCTTTTAGGTTGCAGGCTATTGCTACTGGGGTGGAGGCCAGTGCTGTCATATTATGTCGGAATCCGCAGTCAAGTGTCCAAGCTTAAGCTCTGAGGATCCGGCACCATTGCAAGGCCTTTTTTCATATTCAGTCGAGTGGGGTGGGGATGGGTGGATTGGAGTAGATTGGAAAGTCAATATTCCCAGCGCAAACGCACTGTTGATGTTGGTTGGGCAAACCCCACGATTGTGTTCACTTTGAACGAGGCCGAAACCCTGTAGGATGTCAAGGTTGGAGAGATATGGAGAGATGAGATTCCTGTTGGCCATTGGCGAAGTTCTTTCTCAGGATCATGAGTTGGTCATGATTTGTTTGACCGAAATCGTCTCTCTAAACTCTACCCTTTGACGATGAACCGACTTCCAAGTGAGGTAGTTGTGCCGAGCCTCCTGAATACCTGGCCAAGGGTGCAAATTCCGAAAAAAGGGATGCAAGACCAGCTGTTTTTTTCACAACGAGGAGAACGTCTCAAGGACCTGGGGCAGACTAAGTTGTCAAGGCGCCCAAAAAAGGTGCTGAAAACTGAGAACGGACAAATCCAATACAAACCACGATTCCATGTTCCACTGCCGAGCCGGAGTGCACCGTCTAACAAGTCAATGTACGGAGTGCTTCCTCCTGCCTCGGCGAGGCTGGCACAAGGCCTTTTGAGGCGCTGGCGGCGGACGGTGCGCGCCCAGCGTGAGATGGCATGATCGATTTGCTTCGATAAGTCCACGAATGCTTTTGAAAGAACAGGAGTTGGTGGATGCCCCTGGATCTGTCACATGGAACGGACCCAAACACCCTCCAACTTGTGAACCTGCCGTGATACACCCACTGAGAGACATTGATGAAGTTTCGAGCTTATGAAATAGCCGCAGCTTCTTTTTAAGTGTTGGAGCTTTAGCAGGTGGTTTGCCTTCAATAGGAATTCTATTCCAGTGAATCCGACACTGGGGGAGATCCAACACCTGTGCTGTGCAGAGCAATCAAGTCGCGTCCTTGTGCCCGTTGGGGTCACAAGTATGTCATAGACTCTCCAACGGAGGAGTAGGTGTCGCCCTTCGGTTTTGGGCGCATTTGTGTGGGTGTTGAAACCATTTGGTCGTGCAACATGCTCAATTCGGCCGAGCTGCCGCTTTCCTAGACGAGCTCGCTTGGGAATGTGAATGTGCGTCGCCGGTTCTTTGATCCAATCCAACTGAGAACTGACTATCCCTGGACTTTTAAAGGGATCACCCACCTTTTGGAATTGAATGAAGGTTGGAAAACCTTGCAGGAGAGAGGTCAATTGTTCAACGAGAGGGTGGAACTTTCTGAGCACCAGGAGCTTTACTTTGTTGCAAGTTGCGATGGTGACGCACACACTGGCTTCCCTGACGTTTTGCCCACCGGGCTCACCCGGAGTCCTGAGATGGCTCCTTCCCGACGCGTCACTGTTTCGGCGCCGCCTTGTACAGCCACAAAACGGGCGACCGAAGGGTGGCCCGACTGAGCTATGTGACGTGGGGGATGGGATGGGATGACCCTTTCAGCCACCGAGTCGCCGAGTGGCTCAGTTCGAAACGGCGTTTCACCCCAATTATTCTCTGTCATCCGAATTGGGGTTTCACAGTTGCTCATTGCATCTATAGTGTGCTAGTTTGGTGGGTGCATGCGTTTGGAGGCCATCCTTCACCGTCAGAGTTGACCGATGTGCAGCAGCAGCTGAGTGTGAGCTCCACCGAGTGAGACTCAACTCGGCTGATACCCATGGCCTCCAACCTATTAACGATGGCCTCTTGTTTGGGGTTAATTTTGGCTCAACGCGTTTGCATTAAGAAGCATAGCGGCATATATAGCTTACTGCATGCTGATGTTCAGTGACAGTGGCATAGTTTGTGAACTGTTCGTTTGGACATACAGTTGTGCTTTGTGGAGCTGACTGTGCCCATGCCAATTTCGTCGTTCTGAGTTGATCAATCGTCCAGACCATTTGCAAAGGCAGGCTTCAAACATATTGATCAGCCAGCATTTCCACTTCGGGCCATGTCGCTGCTGACGCCACGTTTGGACTGGATTTGGGGCTGCTGCACCGCCGGCTGCGAAGCTTATCAGCCGAATGAGTACCAAGTGCAGCTGACCTCGGAGCCGCCCATGAGCAATGCGAAGCACGTATTGACCTCGGGGGATTCCTTCGACATCACCTTCGCTCCACGGCTTTCGGGTCTGGGCTTTCTCCCCTCGGGTCCTATGACGCCTCGGCAGCTGGATCTCAGATCTTCCTTGGAGCTACCAGATTTGCAGGCATATCCGGTACCACCACACATCAGTGCGGATGAGGTAGAAGAGGTGCGGAAAGAGAAGCTCTTGGAGATGTACAAGGAATTTGCCATTGAACTGCACACGGGCATGTACCTAACTCAGCTCACGTCCAATAGAGACTATGCTGATATTCATGTGCAGCTTATGGAGGACTTAACCACTTTAAAGTTGGATCAAAGCAATGGTCGAATCATTGAGTTCCCTCTGACCAGTGTGTCGAAGGTGTATCGAATCGTCAAGAACGATGACAAATGGTACGCCGCCGGAACACCACTACCCAATGCTTCGCCTCATGCCGAGCACATCGTGGTCGTTGAGTTTATGCGGCGAAAGCTGGCGTTCGTGTTCAAGGAGCTGCAGGTCTCTCAGCGGTTTCTCATTTGCATGGAGTTGCTGATTCGGAGGGCCCAGCAAAGGCAGGCCATGCGGTCGTTGACTCCAACCTTCCCACATCGACCAAAGCAATGCCCAACGCCGAGGTTGGTCCACGAAGTGAACCCCCCAGGCCCCAGAAGTGGTGATGTGAAGGACCATCACTGAGCTGAAGCAGACTGCCAAGCTGCCATAAGCTGCCCAGATGTGTCTTGAGTCTTGAAAATCTGAGCTTGCAGCGCTTGCAGCCGTGAGTTTTCTGAAATGTTTCTTTCCGACCGAACTGCCGACTTTCGGACCACGCTCTCCTGAATTGTAAGATCTTTTCCTTTTGCTAGGCTGAGAAATGGATTGGGACGGAGTGGAGTCTATTTTTAAGCCCGAAGGTGCCACACAGAGCTTTCAACCGTGGATCGCGGGTGACTCTCATGTCGCTTCGCTCGGGGAAGATTCCGCAAAGAGGCAGGAAGACCGGATCAAAGTTTTGATGAATTCTGATGCTAGTCAAATCTATTCAATATGCCAGGCCAAATAAAACTGCTAGGGCCTTTGCTTTACCTTTTGGCTCTCAACAATCATTTGTGAAAACCATTTGCCGAGAACCTGAGTGCCTGTTTTCAGAGCCACTTGCCTAAAGGATTTGCATTTATATATCGAGTTGAGTTGTCCGACCAAAAAAAGGGGGTCACTTGGGTCAAGAAAAAAACACCAGCTAAGTTCATCGAACGGCCCAGTGATTCCCAGCTAGGAAGATGGGTGCGGCTTGGTGGATTCCGTGGATAGCGGTGGCTGCTTGGCTGCAAAGAGTCACCCTCAGACTGTGGAGGAACGGGGCCTCGGACTGTGGAACCTGAGGATGGGAACCTGCGTCTAGAGGAGAATACATAAACATCACCAACCTCAGTGATTCAGTGTAGCTCTTGCTGTTTGAGCAAGAATGGGCAATCTTAGAGATCCTTGTGGAGGAAGTCAGCGTATTCTTCGGGGCTCAAGATGGCTATAGGCGCGCACACTCGCTGCAAAATGAGGGGCATTTGCTAGATTACAGTGTGTACATATATATAGTATATATATATATACCTCGCAGCAGATTAACATGGACCCTGAATACCACTGGGTTGTAGATGAGAATAGTGGGGTCAATTTTCACGGTCCATGTTGGTTTGCAGGGAGGGTAGCTATGATTTGCTGTGTTCCCTCGAGTTGCCCGACTGTCATTTTGACCAACATCACTCCTGGCCTGGTATACTGTTTGGACCCAAGCTTTGTGGTGGATTCCATTCTGAATTGTATTTTGTGGATCCATGCTGGCTGTTGGCAGACATCATGGGGGTCCTTAAATCCTTTTTGGTGAAAGGAGAACCACAGCCTAGGACCCCGGAAGGCTCAACATCCATGAAAGATTATGAAAGCTATGGATGTCAGTTGTGAAAGAAACACTGGATCAAAAGGGTACTGGTTCCTCGACCCATACCAGATAGCTTTTCCTGAGGCTTTGTTTGAAAGTTTTCTGTCTCCGGAGCTCACCACTCGTCACCTTTGCACTTCGAAGTTGTCACGAAGTGGTGCGTCACGAAACTAATCATCCCCCGCCGGGGGTAGCCTGCACTAAATTAAAAGCTCAAAATTCAAACACATTTGGTACGGGACAAGCACCTGCTTTTGAGCATGTTGATGCTTTTTTGGGGTGTTCTAGTTGGGCATCCCTTTCTCAGTGGCTGGGAGTCTCGGTCTGAGGTCATTCACGGATCTCGAGGTGCAGGAATCGAGCTGTTTCGAAGTGAGTTCGGTCCAACCCGTTCGAGTCGCGATGCCAGTTTCGCCCCGTTGTAGTAGCGTCCGATCGCTCCGTTCGCAGCGATGTATTTCACTTTGTAAGACTTGAACTGATCAGAGACTCTGAGGCCACCTTTGGCCCATTTTAAAGGTAGAGGCTGCCATGCGGTGTATGATTCCTATAAGCATCTTCCCTGGCGCGAGGGCTATGTTTGGCAAGGGTCTATGTTTTCTTCATACTTTTTTCCTCATATGCAAAAACACACCCCTTCCACGTCAAAAAGGTGTTACTTAAGGAGCCGGCGGTGGAGCCCGAGCGGACGGAAGAACGTGATGGAGCGGCGGACGGTGATGGAGCGTTGCCTCGCGTGCAGGAGGACATGGACACCTGCGAAAACTCTCAGGCCGAAGAATTCAGCCGTGGCACAAGACATCCAGTTTCAGGCATCCAGTTCCATAGAGTTCCATGTGTTTTTTGTTTCCAAGACTTTAACATTGAGTGGCAGTTGGATTTGGATGCGTATTGTTTTGCGGACCTTCACTTTTGTTCTTGTTATTGAGTGGGCATTTTAACAACACTTAATCCGCTTTGAAAGGCCCCCTTTGTAGTCCTGAATGCTTGACCGGGTTGAACCAACAACTATGACTTTATATATATATATATGCACACACATATATGTTGCATCGTGTCGCATGTTGATTGAACTTTGATCTCTATGCGTGTGTGTGCATCATGTTTGACACCATGTGGGGCCATGCAATATTTGAGATTGATTGAGACGGGGGTTCACACAGCTGCAGATTCACTAAGATGCTACTGGAACAACTTTGCAAGGTTATATATATGTATACTATACAACCTTGCAAAATATACATATATAACTATATATATACACATATAACATGGTTCTATAGATTAGAATAGTGGCAAAGTTTATGCTGTTCCTCCCTGGGTAAAAATACACCAGCGGTGTCTATGTATCCCCATATGAAAGTGTAAAGAATTGTTTTCAAGCGGTGGATTTGAAACATATCCTAAGGGCAACTTGAGGTCGGTTTCAAACAGTTGGATGTTCAAAGACATGGTTTCTTGATGGACATATGTATTGCGACTATAGTTATATAGGTAGATTTACATCCGGATTCCCTAGTACTTGGCACTGGATGTTCATTGGGGCACATGCAGAACGCTTTTGAAGGTAAGCGTGCACTGAACTACTAAAGTAATTGGTATAGGTTCAGAGTGGATGGACTCTTCAAAGGGCACCTCCAGGCTATGTGTTTTGAATTCAGAGGTTCAACCACTTTTACCTTGTTTCTGATCGGTGCTGCACTTTAACCAACCGGGAAAACCACAAACTTGTAATGTTTGAACAGTCAAGCTGGAAACGATTTCACAAAGGATCCTCCAATGCCAAGCTGCACGCCACGCATGTCAGGAGAAGACCAGTGGCTTGGTTGACGGCCATTTTCGGTGGTCTAAAAGCCACAACAATGGTGTCATGATCCCCACGGTCGGTTTGACTTTCGCGGATGTTTATGGGTTGCGAATGAATAATGAACGATATTGAATGCTGCCTTCTAATTCCCGTGCCGCATCTCAGTGATCATCTCAGGACTTCATGGGAAGATTTTGAAGGTACACCACAAAAGGGTAAGCAGTCCAGCTTTGAATGTGACAAGTCGCACTTCTCATATTCCTTGTGAGACCTTTTAGGGGGATTAAGCGCTGATACTGCACACGCTTCATTATTTTTAGCTTCGATCCATCACGTTGCGACCTGTAGCAGATAATTTGCCGACCTGTGGCCGTAATTTGGGGGTCTTTTGAAGGGTTCTTGTGCAGTGCGAATGCCCCGCATGAAACCAGATCGTCCCTGGTCCCTGGGCAGATGATTCTGCGTGAGATGTTGGGTTGATATGCTATTGATTTGGGTTTGCCGGCACCAAGGGGCTGTACTTGCGAGGGTTTCCAGATGTTGTCCGGCAAACCCTGACCGTTACACGGCTTAAAAGCTGTGATTCTTGATCTTCAAGTTGATTCAAATCTGGAGATCCCACCTCTGGGCTTCGACCTCCGCTCCGCAGGGTTTTGTTCCGGGAAAAATCGCCGCCGAGGTGCCGCTTGCGAGCGACGCGTCTCCTGCCAACACCATCGCTGGACGAGAATGAAAGGCCGGCCGAAGCTGGGGTGGGTCGCGGGTGTTGGAGGTCCACTGGCTGAAAGCCTGGTTTTTTCTTGGACAAGCTGAGAAGATAGTGGCCATATGTGGCCATATTGGGTGGATGGCCCATGAGCCGTCATGAGATTGTTTTTAATCATTAGGCTTAAACAGGGGTTGTCACTCCACCTCCATGTGAGAAGTGAGTTGGAGTCGCAGTGACAACACTATTCTTGAGCTGAATACTGCACATAGACTTGGAACGTGGATCGGACCGGTCCTGCAAGGGCCATAGGCGTTTCGAAAGCCATGAGATGCCTCACGCATTAGATTGGCCTTTTCTGGAGGCCAGCTCACTGGTTTTTGATTGGCCGGTGCCATACTGCCAGTTGTTGAAGTCGAGACGTTTTTTTTTTTCAAATAGCAGATAGAAGGTGATTAGCAAACCAGGAAGTCGATACACTATAGCGTTTCCTTGCAGGATAGAGTGTGTTGGAAGATGTTTTCTAAATGCATGGTTTTATTCAATGGGCTTGTTTTACTCAGCGTTCACAGTGTTTTGATTGCACAAGACCTACCGCAAGGAAGTTGGCAGGCAACCCATAGGTTGTTTCTAGAGGTTTCTATAGGCAGCCCATAGGTTCCCCTTCATCTTGGGATTGTGGGTCTCATATGTCCAACCCTCCAAGGGCTTATAGGGCCAGCCCTCGGAAGCAGGGTCCTCGTGGAAACCTGGCTTCCGCTGTGAAGCGGGCACAGGCATGAACTTGTGCCAGATGAGGTGTGCCCTTGGGGGAAGCTTGATTGGGCTACCTTCGCTGGTGCTGCCGGTCTGCTGCTGGTTTTTTGCTGCTGCTGCTGCCTTGCTGCTGCTGGTTGGCTACTGCTGCTGCTGGCGGTTGGCTGCTGTTGGTTTGCTGCTGGTTGGCTGCTGCTGCTGCTGGCTGATTGCTGCTGCTGCTGGGATTGGATCACGGCAACCCATAGATAACATTTGAACACATCAACATGTAGAAGGTTGAATCGCAAACAATCTAGGAGAAAAAGTGCTTGTTTCGAAGCGGTGTGCCATTTTGTCCAAATGGGGTAAGTTCTTACATTCGTGGGTAAGCGGTGTGCCATGGGGGTGGGTCAAGTTCATGTGCGATGGGGTAAGTTACCACGTCGGGTAGCTCTCCAAATTGCGTTGCCATTGGGATTTGCAGTTGAAGTTTTCTCTTTTTGGAAAGGTGAATCTGGAGAACCTTGTTCTGTATGTAGCGTTTACAATGGGGAAGGCCAGCAGTCT